TTTCCCTCTGCCATCAGACTCCTAAACAGCTGAGGAGTTTATTACCAGGAAATACGTGATGTACTGTTTACATTCTCAGTTTGCACATGCATAATGGCACATTGACTGTTGACTGCTGCACATGCTGCTCCCATGCAACATACATTCTCTGTTATATTATTATATTGCTGCATTTGCTGCTTAAAGTGCCTTAGATTTAGTGTTATCTACTTTATATTTCATTTGTATTTTGTGGCATTCATGTGGATGGCAAAGTAAGAATTTCATTATACAGAGAAACACGTTTCCTAACTGTGCATGTGACAAATAAACACTTTGAACTTGAATAGCCTTAGATGTGTAGGCATTGTCATTTACAACTTCATCCATCAGAAATGTCCTGTCACTTTCATCTTGCCAGCCAAACAGTGGCACATCACAGACCTCAGAAGCCAATATGCAAATAAGGAAAGCCATGAAAATGGAAATCTCACCGGTTCCATTACCTCTAATGAGCTGAGGTGTAGTGCATAGCTAATCAAAACTGTCTCCAGTAATGGGGTCCAATGACACCTGTAGGATTCAGTCCAGTGGCAGTCAAGCTAAGAGGAGTGGACAACCAGCTTGACACGGATCAATGTCTGTTCCTCTTGCGGGGAAAGGACAAATGTCATGGTCACACAGGAGCAGGAAATGAAATGGATTCGAGGTTGTCAGAGAACTCATGCAGAAAAAAAAAGCTCTTAAGTAACAACCAAAGGGAAATGCGAAACTTGTCAAAAGCTAATCTACATTTGACTTATTTTGTTTTTCATGAGTACAACAATCATTATCCTCAAAGTTCATTATATCTGCTAACTCACTATCTAGCTACATACATTGGATATGCAGCTATAGACTGATATGGTTACTTTAAAAATACATAGGTTAAGATACATAAATTAAATAATTTTATGAAAACAGTAAAATTTGCCTTGGTGCAAGTTTTCTCACCTCGATTATTTTTCATTGGGGTTCTTGGCAAAATTATGCTGAATCTTATGTTTTTTTTTTGTGCTTCTTTGACTACCAAATAATGTATAACTCAATTTTTTATGCAGAGATCTCCTCTCAGACAAGCTTACATGCCTAAAGCAACTATCTGTCTGAGTGGGTGCTTGTTTTCTTAAGACTTACAACCTTGAAGGTGTGTATTTGAATCATATGGCCTCTGTAAAAAAATCAAGCCTTTAACACCAGGATAGCACGGCCCTTTGAAGCCAATAAGCCATAGGACCACCCACATCAAGCAATCCTGGAAAAGACTTGGAAGTATCTGCAGGTTTTGTTTTCAAACTGACAATGTTTTTGGCTTTTGTCTTTTTTTTTAAATGTACCTTTGCTTAAACATAATCCTAACTATGTGAGAATAGCCCAAAGCACGCATTTTCTGCAGCTCAGTAATATCTGACTCTATTGTGGACTACAAACAGTTCACTTTGGAATTAAGAAGTACACTGTTTTCAACAATGAAATTACAGTTTTAGGATAGTGATCCAGTGTAGCTGGCATTACCCAAAGCCAAAGGAAGATCCGAGGTATTCTGAGCCACCCCCCAGGGGTTTGTAAAGGCTACCTACAGAGGCTATGTTGATTAGGTGAGAAGAAAGAGATCAAGAGTTCTGCCATCCATACGTTTGTGTGTGTACTCCGTCCTACTCAAACTATGTTTAATTCTTGTTCCATTCTGGCAAACACAAATCACTCATTCTCTGTGTGGATGTATAGTTGTTAGTCAGAACTGATGCTCTGCAAAAGCTCTTAACCATGGGGAGAGAGAGAGGCACAAAGACTGACAAAGAAATCACATGTTAAGAAGTGCACCCACAAATAAACGTTAAAACCCAAATGCATGAATACACACAAAAGCCAATGTCTTCTTATGAACAGTACATTTAGGCTTAAAGATCTGCAGTTTTAAATCACTTCAAAATACTCTTGCTTTATAGATCATGTTGACTAGTTATGCAAAGGATTTATATAATCTGGGGAGAAATAGTGTTTGATTTATTATGAAATTATCAGCATGCAATCTGAATCCCATTATTCCTTAAGAATGTTAATTAAACTATTTACAGAAGCCATTACTTTCCTCCAATTGAACTCGTATGCGTATAATATCAATTTTGTAGCAGGGTACTTAGCAGATATCACAATTAGCAAATTATGGTGTTAGATGTAGTTTTTGGAAATGTTTTTACCATACACTACACTTGAATGGTAGTGTATGCTTGCTGTAGCATGCTTATTCTGTACTGTTTATACTGTACATTATGGGATAGTTAAATTGAAATAAAATAAAGTCTATTCTTAGAAGACGAAGACATGGAGGAGAGGCAAAAAGGTGACTGCTGGAGAATAAAAATGGAGGAGAAAAGCCTGGAGCACCAAGAGTTAAAGCAAGAAAAGGAAACGTGGATTATTAATAATGCCACCTCCAACTGGATTAAAAAAAAAATAAGAGTGCTGTCCAGTTTGCATTGCCGAGGATACTCAGAGGCAGAGATATTCACTGCTAACACTGATCTTGAGGCAAGGGTCAGAGCTGACAGCAAAGTAACAGTCCTTAGGGGCCTCTTCCTCAGCCATTACCACTACTGTATTATCTTCTCTTTCTTAGTACAGAGTGACTCACAGCAGATGACTTTTCAAGAACAGCACTCAGTCTCACCTAACTACCCTCCATCTTTCTTTGTTAGATATTTGTAAATCAAGCTTGTATTAAAAACCACAGCTATTCCTTTGAAATGGGATGATCAAGGATGATATGAGGGCAGACATCACATTTCAGCATAACTACAAATTGTCTTAACATGTTTGATAAGTACTGAAAAAGAAATTGGTGTAGGAGAGGACAACAATTTCATGGAAGCTGTAATTTCCTCGAGTATGGGGCTGAGGTTGCTCAATCAATTAATCACTGCCTTTGATGCTGATGGACTAAAATTAATTATTAAACAGCATCTTTTATGGAGGTAAAGTGCCTTGAGTGGAGGCCACAGAGCTAGGCCATAAAGCTATGTATAACCCATCTGCCCTGAAGAATATTATATACTAAAATTAACAATATGCATTTTGAGCGCACAGAGAAGTGACTTTGAACATCAGGGTCAGTGCTTGTACGTGCAGATGTTAACCAAATTAAACTCTGACCTCTTGAGTGTGCCAATTATATACCAGAGACATTAGCCAAGGGCAAAGCTGATGTTAAATATATTGTAGGGACAGTGTGCGTGGGTCTAAGACAGAATGAACTGTAAGCATGCTGTAACTTATCACAGCATGCATTTGT